TTATACAATTCTGTCTGTATTATGCATCAATCAAAATACTTAATATGCTTCTTTTGACAAATTGAATATTTTCTCTTTCTATTAGACAATTAAACCAGAGTTAGAAGGCCTCGCAACCCTCTATGGAGCGTTGCCGACCCCTAGTGGGGGTCCCGACCCACTGCTGATCTAAACTACACTATAACTTATAACACTATTTTTGTTTACGTAAATGATATCCTGTAAATTAAGCTAAGCTAAAAAGAAGAGAGTGAAAACCTTTGAGGAACTACATTTAGACTGACCAATAATTACGGTGAAATGGGGGAACATTTATTTTTTTGCAGCTAATGCTCCACTGATGTTCACCTGCTTGGTTATTAACTGTTTATTGGTGTTTGGTGTTAAAGCCAGTGTGAGGATCGCTGAAAAACACGCAGAAAAAACACCCTATCTAGGAGCCAGTGTTTGGTTTGTCCCTTCTGAGGCTACTGTAGAAACAGTGGCAACAGCGCATGAAGGCCGACTCGCGGCTTCTGAGATAGAAATCGTCTCGTCTAAGGTAAACAAACAAATTTCCTCCATATTTCAGGTGATTATACACCAATAAAAACATACCTATGAATATTATATTCCATTTTGACAATAGATCCTCCCTTAAACACAAAACAATAAGTTGTGAGCGAGGGGGAACATACAGTTAATTCTCTGGATTATATCAAGAGAGACATTGCAAATATGAAATACATTTGATTATAGACAGCTTTTAGCTCCTGCACGACTTTAAATTTACTCAAAGGACATTTATCAGGTTAGTTTGATGAGCCAGAACTATCAGAATGATGTCATGCTGTGTCCAAAACTGATATGATTTAGGACGCGAGTGGACTAGAAATATGTGTGATCAACTACTGAATCCCTTAACTTGTGTCAGGACACAAGCAGTAAGCGGTCTGGATTCAGCAGAAAGAGAGAAAATCCCACAAAAAAACCATAATATAAAAGCATCCTATTCCGAGGTGTTGGATTATGTTTCCAGAGACGGAGGCTCAGGCGTTGTCTGAGCTGGTGGTGCGCGTGGTCTTTGCGTGGCCGCTGTTGTTTTTAGCGTGTGCCATGTGTGCGTGTGCGCATGCTGTGCGTGGTGTGCGCGTAGGGGGCGTAAACAAATGGGGGGGGGGTCAGGGGATGTAAACAGCAGCCGGGGACATAGAGGCCTGGGAGCTGGTGCGGGCCCAGACCAAAGAATCTGCCGCTAATCTGATCTATTAAAGCTCTCATTTAGACTTACAGTCCCCTTGTGACCTCCACCCTGTCCCCCACACATCACACACCCCAACACACACCCACCACACACCCC